GAAATTCTAATGGGAATTTTTTTTCTTAAAACTAAAAAAAAAGACTTTTTTGTATGAGAATCAGATATATAACTAAGTTTAAATACATTTAATTCTATAGAAATCATAGTTGTTGATATATTTTTAAAAAGTTCAAATCCATCAAAACCATATTCAGTCATACTTTCTGATAAAATTTTATGATATGTTAAAGTATTTCGATTAGTTAATGCACAACTGTAATTTGTATTAAGTTTTCTAATAGGCCTTTTATATATGTATTATTTATTGTACCACACAATATAAACTTAAGGGATTATTTCAATGGCAAATAGTTTGAATTGAAATATAATATTAATTCAAATATTTTATGTGATTATTTTAAAAACTGTTTAATACATTGAAAAAAAAAGAAAACTCTGGTCATAATGTTGGACAAGATTTAGATTTATTTGGAAAATATTATGAAAGAAACTTAGCTTGCAAAACTTTACACATTAGTAAATTACCACATTATCGATTTTTGATAGCTATCCTTTATTTCCACAAAATCTTAATAAATCATAAGTAATAGATGTACATATTTTTTATTCATGCATTATTTATTAAAAGAAAACATTTGTAATGTACAAATTTATTTGTGATATGAATAAAGAAAACAAACATTTTTAAACAGTTTTCTTCTTTATGAAATCAATGTCAGGTCACTCATGACACAAATAATTCGTTTTAATGAATCGTATGAAACCCATTATTGCTATTTTCAAGAGTTAATCTTTAAAAGCAATTAATAGAAAATATAACATTATATTCATAATAATTGAATTTGTAATAAGATCTTTTTTATTTATGAATCATAATATGCAGACAGACATTCAACAAGATCTGATGACATAAACATCTCTATCTGTACACATTATGAACTGCACAGTGATCTGATATACATCGAAGAAAAGAACTTATTGAAGTAAAGACCCAATTATCAACCATGACTTTCCAGATATGTTCACCATTTGAAAAACATATCAAGAATGGTTGCAAACGTTAATAATACAATATTAAAAAACTGATAGTCAAAAATCTTTGAATAAAAATAGTAGATTTTCTAAGTATGCCGCGTGCAAGTATGAATAACTCATCGTTGAAGTGTAATCAACATGGATATTAACATTCACCTCTTTCTGATCGATAAGCGTGCGAGTGTGGGTGTAGATGTAGTGGAGTGTGAGGGTGGGTGTAATGACAAAAACACATATCCCCACCAGTATCCACACCCACACTCAATATGAATATTTTAGATTTTAGGCTAGTAACATAGAGAGAATTAAAACAAGAACATACACATGACAGTGAACATGGATTTGTCAATAGTAAAAATTATAAATGTTCGTTGAGCAACAATATTCAATACATATGATCAACCATTGAACCATATTTTGTTATTTGAACTTTTACAGTTTAAATTTTTCATGATACGAAAATACATGAAAATAGTAAGAATACTAGTAAAAACAGAGGTTCTTTTTATTTTTTATTTTAACATTTTGTTAAGCTTTCGGTCTTATGTATACGATCATCATTAGAACAATAAACCATAATCGATGTTGATAATCATACCAACACAATGAACTGTAACATCATCACCAACATTAACTTGAGTTGTAAGGATTGTTGAAATAATAAAACTAAATTTAATTTATTCTCTAAATAGAGAAATAATAATAATATCATGTTCGATAGTTTTTCACATTATTGTTCTGATGATGGTCGTATGCATAGGACCGAAAATATAACAAATGTTAAAATAAAAATTAAAAATAAAGATAACCTCTGTTTTTTACTATTATTATTATCATTCTCATATACTTTCGTATCATGATAAATTTAAACTGTAAAAGTTCAAATAAAAAATATGGATCAATGGTTGATCACATCTATTGCATATTATTGCTCGACGAACAGTTATAATTTTTATTAGAAAAAGAAATTTAAAAGCTAAACATTCTTTTTTTCCTGTATTTGACACTGCTCTTTCAAGATATTGTCTACCTACTTCAACGAACACTTCAATGGTAGTCAGCGATACATTCGTACACCTAATCGAAATTGTCATTGATGATAATTCTGCTCATTGTATTGTTTCTCGTTGCTAACTAAACTGAAAATGCAGAACTCCTAAACAGATACAAATATCACGAAAATTTTCAATTTTATCTTATGATATGATCATTCAAATGATTGGAACTGATTTTCATCTGCAATTGATCAATGTTATTGATGTTGTGTATAATGAACATTATCTATTATTATCATCATCATTCAGATAGACACGTAACAGTAGTCAGAATGTTACATATCGTTCTACTATTAAAGACAGGATCATTGTCAATATGATAAGGCCGGTGTCTGTCTATCTTCGATGAGAATAAGAAATTGAAATGAATGCAATATCACAGACTATGTATACTCTCCCATATTCCATCTCTTTTTCTTTTCTTTCTTCCTCTCTATCTTATCCGATATAAACATCGTACAAGTCAGCACGTAGTAGGGACAACTCAAGTATTGCGCGCATTACATTTTAAACATGTCAAATTTTTTTTTAAAATCATGCATCTGACGATTCTGCACAGCTATATATCATCACGTTCCCTTGTAAATTCTGACATTATGCGAAGTTAAAAAGACGTGATACAGCTACTTTTCTCAATAAAAAATAACATCACATGAACTTTAGACCTATGAAACTACTGAGATTGGAATTTTCTCCAGAAAAAAAACAGATGCATCCTTCAAAGATTCTGTCACGTTCCAATTGGAATTTTATCTACCAAAGCAAGTCCTATATAAAGCAGTCACTTTTCATTATTCTCAATCACAGTACACAATCATCTATAAGCAACACAGTAGTATGTAAGTTTCTCTTATATTCATATGATTCTTGTAATTTCAGTTTAGTTTACATCTTCTTTTTTTGTTTCATTTTATTTTTATCTCGTATTATAAAATGCTGCCATTCTCATTAACGATTAACATCATGACTATGATCCTATTGCTACATATCTTATGCAAAATCTAGATCAATAACATCAATGATAGCAATATAAATCTTCATAATGGTGAATATTCGGTAGGCTTAAATAATATTTCAGGAGTGCACAAGATCTAGTTTTCTTCGATTTAGAACAATCATGGCTCTTCGACTTGCTCGATGAATATTTCATCTATAATAACATCTATAGAACAATTAATAATAGTTCAATTGAATTTGACCAGATTGCCATATCTACATAGTGTGTTTCGTGATATTATCTTCATTAATTAGCTCTTCAAACCTTACTCCATTCCATGATCGGAATTGTATTATACTTTCCATGGTTCATATGTTAAAAATTCATTCTTCAAAATTTAAAATAATCGCTTATTGTTAATTTTCACCCGTACCTTATGCATGCTCTACTTGTATTCCAGTGAGTAAATCTATTTTAGATTTGATATATATATTTTTCTTATAAATTACAGCATATTCCTTTCAAATGGCTGCTACTTCGGAATCATCATCGACAACAACAATACCAATCATTCATCTTGAATTCGAAACTAACAATGCTACGAGAAAATGATATATTCATTCCTCAATGATATATGTTCGTATGGTGAATACTGGATTAGTTAATCAATGCGTCAAGTTAATACTCGATGGCGATCATGAACAAAAGCTATTTTTGTTGAATTTCTTTAGTACAAAATGTGGACGTGACGGAGAGAGCGAAGAAAATATTGAGAAAAAGATTAAGCAACAAAAATCTCAGCAAGAAGGCGCTTTAAGTCAAATGGCAATTTCTGATCCTGAACAATAATACTCGACAAAGGTTATTTTGAACATACAAGTGAAGAATTACCTCCTGATAACATTTATTACCTTAAGTCTTTCTATGATTTAGATTGACAACAGTGACACTTCATCGCTATGAAAACACTGTAAGGATAATTCAAAGATACTTCTTTTTGATCTCTTATAATTTTTCTTTTCATTATAGTTTAATATTATTGAGTCAAACGTCATCAATCATTGCCAAAGTTTAAAAATATCGCCATCGATTGATATTTTCTTTTTTTCTTTTTTCACTTTCGATTTCTTGTTTTTTTTTCAAGTCTATTTCAAAATAGTATCATATATAAAATGTTTATCTATGATTTATATAATTGTGGATCAATTGTTATTTATCATACGTTATTTGATTAGTATAATGAACTGAAACAGTACTAATCTTTATTTTCAACATCATTAATCAATTTTATTCACTTTTGATGAAGATAATGATACTGATAATTTAATGAAAACTCAATATTTTACATCAATGACAAAAACAAATTCTTATCATAAAATGGACAAAAATACAACATCAGTGACAACAACTAATCAATTACAATTCGTTATACCACCATCCACATCTATATGGTCATCGTTTACAAAACAAGTAATCACAGCTACGAGAACAGCAACAAAAGAAATTGAAGTCATTCGTTTGGTGACACAAAAGGATAACCAATTGGTCTTTATCAATCAAATTATATACCACGTACACTTTATTTTTATAATCAACAACGCTTATCCATTTTACCAACATTTCCAATCATCATGTATAACGTTGGTTCAGATTTATAATTGGAAACTGTATCTTCTAATTAATGGTCACTACAAGACCATCTATAAGATCAATATAAATATACATTTACTATTACGCAGATCTTAATGTATCGGCAACATCATTGATGGTCAAATATTATATATATTCCTCAATTATTTCTTATAGCATGGCTTCGAATACTTTTTTCTGAGTAACGTTCAGAAAACGCATTGTGTTTAAGAGAAAAATGAATCACAACAACAATTAGAATTTCATTTATAAAAAAATGTTGACCTTTTTTATATGAAAACGTATTCATTTCGTAGTGCATAACTAAGATCAACAACAGAGAGTATATTTTGTTCAAATATAACTCAATGGCATTATGAGATGACACAGTATGGACGTTTTCAATTATGTCGAACATCAATTGATATGAAATGTTGTCAACAAACACCAGTATTATTTGATTATTATGTAAAACATCGTTTTGTTAATGTTTATGAATCTAGATTAAATTGTCCAGTAACATGTGGTGTCAAAAAAATTATTTATGTTTTAACATGTTTATGTGGCCAATTCGGCCATATCAGTGAAACATCATATGCATTGACTATACATTTAGATGACCATGGTAAGATTGCTAATAAGTTTATATGTGAATTATTAATTTGTCAAAGTATCAGCATCAGATATAATGTTCGGCAACCATACAAAATCTTATCGGATTACAATTAACAAAATTGGCGATTTGTGCTAATGTCAACTGAAGATTCTGATCAAGATAATACCAATCATCGAATGATATGAGCAACGGCAACTACAATATCAAATCTTCATCTAGATAAAGATATTCAAGAATATCTCAATGATTTACCAAAACTATCATTTGATTATAAGTATTACAAATTTTTAATTGAAAAGCAAGCTGAATTTTTTAAAAACCAAACTTGGCTGTGATCCAATTAATGGTCAAGCTATTCCTAATAATGCAACAATTATTACTGTCTTATCACCAGATGCATCAGATTTACTTCGTCAAGTTATTCATTCAGTATTTTTTACATATAATGAAGCTAAATAAAATACATTAGGTCATATCTTTGATTCTAATGTCAACGTTAGTATTAAACATGGTCTTTGGTGTGCAAATTCAATACATCGTCCAGTTTCATCAATGCGTCAGCAGCGTTGAGCAACATTCTTCTTCATGTATATACAAGTATTTATAAAACTCATTGGCATGCTTTCGAAAAGAAACTTCGCTTTTTCATCATCTTTTCTGATTTTTTGCATACAAAAGTTTTCTTTTTTCGATTTCTTTGATTCATTTAGTTTATTAAACTTAATCTTGACGTGAGTAATAATTTCTATGAAATTTCGCGAACAATATTTATTGAATGATATTCTAAGATTTCAGATAAAAGCATAAAAAAAATCGAAAATGGTTTTTAACTTCTTCTTTCAATTATGTCTAATTTTATCATGCGCTTTTGCCTTATCAAATGGCTCAATTCTTCATGATAATGATATTTATGAAACTATTACCATAAATGTAATTAACAATCAAACCAATCAATGTCGAAGTCCAATGACTTTACAACAAATAATGAGCTTAGTAAAACAGTATCCATGTACAATAACTGAGAAAGAAAATAATAATCGACGAATGAAACGTAAAGTTGATGCTGATAGTGCGGATATATATGCATTACAAGCAATACTCAATGATCACCTTGTCATGATTAATTATTTAATTGATAATTCCATCAATACATCATTCGTTGCAGATGCGATCAATAATTATTATTCAAAAACTGGTCCAATATTAATAAGTTGGCGTGATCAAATTGATTTACTTTTTATTGCTATATGCATTGGATTTATTATTTATCTATTGGTGGTATGTCGTATCGGCTTCAATCCATGTAATCCTTGCTTATCATCTTTTTAGAAATGTTTAATTCATTATGTCTATGAACAACAACAGCAAGAATTAATGAAAACACAATCAATTCACCGAAAGAAACAACATTTGCCATCGATAGCATCAATAATCTGATGATGCAGTTGAGTATCACAATGAATACATATCAGATTAATCGTGGTATATGAACAATTTTTCACAAGGACTTCTAACAGAACTAAAGCTTATTGCATGTCATTTTTCAATTACATACTAATCAATTAAATTTAGTTATCTCCAGAAAACTCTTTAATATGTCAATAATGAATCTAATACTGTATTTCTCTTATTATTTTAGATATTTTTGAACCATTTACTTCCCCATATATTCTTTGACATCATTCAATTCTTATCGTTCATTAGCGAGAAGCCTTTGATTGTTCTGTTTTCATGAGCATTATGACCTTTCTTTCTGTTCAAGTGTCGTCATCAGAATAAAAAAATTAAATGAAAAACATTGTAATCAACCATTAAATGGGTTACCTCAATTTATACCTTTCAATCCTCATGAAGTTTTTTTTAATTAAACGACCAACAAGGTTTTATGTTTTACATTATTTAATTGACTTGGCGCAAGAAGCCAAACACTTCACTGTTAATACAGAATCTAATTTATATACAAATAGAGTTGCTGTGATACAAATTAAATTTATTAAAAAAAGATTATCAATTGTAATTTTAATTGAAGCGCGTCACCTATCATCAGACAAACAGTGAATAAGATTCTAACTTATTCGCTCCATATTCAAATTTATTTTTCAAAGGACAAAAGCTGTTCTTTCCTGGGACCTACCATGGCTGAATTATCAAAATTTGTAGAGTATGATCTTTTTGAATATGATTCATATGGTTATTATAGGAAAAGGTTACAATCCTCTGAAGATTACGTATAAGAAACAATTGAAGATAGGTTCAAAAATTTTTAGATAACAGTCAAAGACTGAACCTATGGAGCAGACGTCTTCATCACCGCAGTAATACAAAGGACAACGACAACATTTTATCAATGATCCATTATGCAGCAAATGACTGTTTGGCTGTTACGAACCTGGTTTATACTATTAATGAACTTATTACGAGTATAAGAATAAATTCTTTAATATGATTGAAGCATTATTGTCTTTTTTTTCTATACTTCTAGTTTGAACATTAATCCTTGATGACAGACTACGTAGTTTTCTTTTATTTTTGAATTATTTGAATTCCGTGCTTTTTACTTTTGTTAATGTTTCATTTTTTATTTTGCTTTTGTATTAAATATAGTTTCATTTCAAGTTCTTCTTATTCATGATGATAGTGATTTTAATTTTTTTTCTTTTTCGATTTGGTTACATAATACTCGTGTCGCAAAAACCCGATCACTTTTAATGGTAAACCACGATATTTACTAAAACTGCCGGTTTACCGCGGTTATTTGCAGCTGTGAAAGCCTGTAACCGGAACGGTAAAAACGTGGTAAACCGGACAAAAGTAGCGGTTTACTGCGGTAAACTACCGATTTTTACTCTGTGTTCACCACATGGGTTGATTTTATATGAAAACAAAATAGCTATGGATGATACAATAATCATCTTCTCCCATTACGTGAACCACTCGATGAATCGAAGAAAAATTGCTAGCTTAAATATCAACATCAACACCATTTTAACGTGTTGGTAATAAGTCCATTTCAACCCTTAAAAGCTTATCGTATCTGTCTAATTGATCGTGTATCACCCACAAATGAGATAATATCTCTCATCGAGCAAGCCGATAAAATGATGCCATATTTAATTGATACAAGTAGAACAACTTGAACCCATTTTCTTATTTTTGGAAGTATTTTTCTTACCACATCTGAATACGCAATAATTTTCAATGATACAAATGTTATTGAAGACTATATTTCTTCCATCGAACAAATTCTTCGTTTGGATCAGTAATATTAAACAAGATCGATAAACACTTGTTCACTATCAATTACAAGAACCATTTAAACAATGATACAATACAATATTTAAACACGATGAAAATTGTTATGCTGTATCATTTGATAAAGATCATGCTTTTTATTGTGTATGCCCATATGGTCCATACCAGTACATCAATGATAAATGGGCTCTACAAAAGGCTATTAATTATGTTGTTAATGAACTTATTGGCGAATAAAATGGAAATCATATGAGTTATTTGTATAATATCAATTGCTCTGTCAATTGTTGTTTAGGAATAATCAAATTGTCGATCATAATTGAACTCGGTTGGACAATAGAACATCTGTATCAATACAAAATCTATTAAAGAAGCAAATTGTCATTTTCAGATTATCATTATTAGTTTGTACTTTATTATATCAGATTTTTTTTGCATGATATACAAAGTCAAAGCATAACAATTAGAAAAAGTTTCCATTTTTATCTTAAACTTTGTTCAATTTTGTTTTTTGTTCTAGATAAAAATATATTTACTATCTTGACATTTATTAAGACCACTAGAATTTGCTTTGGATTGTCATCTCTGCTTATTTTAATCAAAGACTTTCTTTCAAAGAAATACAAACGGCTAATTCACGTGAAAATGTGATTGTAACTTTCAAAAATTCAGAAGATTTGAAACATAAAATAACTTTCTGTTATACAACGGAAAAGATATTAATCGATTTAATGATGTTTCGTATTAATATGATGATGATATTGATGAGGAGGAAGATGCAACTATTGATTTTGATAATCTTTATATGAATATTGACAAAGGTAATAACGATGATGATGTAGTTAAAATCGAACAATTTAATCACGATGACAAAACTTTGATTGATCTAACTGTTGAAGAAGAACATTTGTCTCAAAAATAATCAGTGCACCAATGTTAGGTTTGATATTTTCTCAAGTTCAATATGTTATTGAACAAAGATGATTTCACACTATCACTCAATATCTTTCTTATTTATTATCAGAGAATCACAACTATATATATGATGATGAATAACACGACATGTTGGAAATATCCACATAAGATGTAAGCAAAATCCTAGTGAGCGATAACGTTAGAAAATACCAAACGAATGTGAATATAGAAAAGTACCTAGCTGGAGAACAGAAAGAGAATGCGACATATGTATATGACAAAAGAGATGACACACATATATGATGGACAGAACGAGAAGAAAAACAGTTGATTTTACTACTTAACAACTATCAGCTTCTGATGGAAAAGACGACAACAATAATGAAAAAAATGAAAACAGACGAAGAAGAACAACCAAATAATCTGATGGCTAGACATTTATCAAATGCTAAAAAGGCTTTTGAACAAATGATTAGTCGTCTACTTGAGAAAGCTGCCAACTTTATTTATATTGAACATTTATGACAGATTGCTCTTCTCATTCATAAGCTTAAATGTACTTATCTGAACAAGTTACTCTGGACTACGTATTCACGTTCTGGTATAAGCACATTAAAACAACATGGAGAACAAGTAACAACTATAATTTCATTGTGGTCTGAAGATGTCAAATCGAAAATGATTGCTTATGGTCATACAACAGTTTCTGATCGAAATGAAATTGGTCATGATTTTTGTTCGAAGTACTTTCATAGAGTTTTACAAAAATTTCGAAATCAAACCGTATATTATCAAGCTAAATTGAACGAAAGAGGCATAGGTGGGTGTGGATCTTCTCATCATCTTAAAGCCCACACTCTTCGAAAAATATTCTTTGAAATATAGAGCAATCGAGTTTCTCTTAGCTGGTTGTGATGAATGTGTGGTGAACGAAATGTTTTGTTTGTTATTCTCATTCTATGTGACCCATCATTTTTCATTAAACTGTTGTTCACTATTTCACGGTATAGCTCTGAATCCTCCCGTGTCATATCTTTTCGCTGTTCTGCATTTACTTAAAAGTTCTCACCATTTGGCCTTTCTCGCCGAGTGAATATGATATCTTCTGGAGACTACAATCATTTTTAATGTACGCGATAGTTGAAGTTCTGATTCGAGTGAGAATTAATATTGAGTGAGTTATATTTTTCATAAACTGAATGCATTTTTATCCAACAAAAGTCAGGTTCAATCGAATTGATATTTAAAACATAAAAAATTAACAAAAACTTTATAGTGAATGAAAGTTCATTTCATTGTAGAAGAGCTGTATGTATCGTGAACAAAAAAAAAAGTATTGATGTGTCAAATTAGTACGTCAATTTTATTTTTTGAGAGATTCATGTTTACTACTGATTATTAGTTTTATATTTGTGATAAACCACCATCGGCAAAAAGTTCAATACCAGTGATATACGAACTATCATCTGATGCCAGAAATACAGCTGTTTTTGCAATTTCGGATGGATGACCAAGTCGACCCATAAGAGAACTTTCAGCCATTGAGTCAAGTATTTTTTCTGAACTTTCCTTTGTATCACCGATACTTCTTAACATAGGAGTATCAGTTGGGCCTGGACTAAGACAATTAACACGAATTTTACGATCTTTTAAGTCAACAGTCCAACAACGTGCAAATGAACGAATAGCAGCTTTTGTTGCACTATAAACACTTGATGCCGGATAACCTTTGATTGACATATTAGATCCAGTAAGAATAATTGAACCACCATCGACGAAGATTGGTAAAGCTTTTTGAACAGTAAAAAGTACACCTCGAACATTAATATTAAACTGATCGTCGAAAGATTTTTCTGTAATTGATCCTAATGGTTCCAAAGCAAATATAGCGGCATTCGCTACTAAAATATGTAGTTCTCCTTTTTGTTTTTGGATTATTTCGATTATATTATCAATATCATCTAGTTTAGCTGAATCAGCTTGAATAGCAGTAACATGTTTGTCACCAATTTGTTTGACTGCTGCATCAAGTGCTTCTTTACGTCGTCCAGTAATAAATACATAAGCACCTTCAGCAACAAACTGTTGAGCAGTAGCAAGACCGATACCATCTGATCCACCAGTTATAAGAGCAATTTTTCCGTCGAGTTTCCCCATATTTATACCGGATTGTATAGAAAAAAAAAAGCAAACGTGTCCTGTTTATTTATAGTATTCTATTTAACTTTGCTTCATCATGCTGATGATAGTATTTTGTCTCGTTTTGTACA